TAATGCGGGGGCCACATTTACAAGGATGATCTCTTTATTATTCAAGGAGGTCCTGGGACAGATCATGGAGGCTTATGTGGATGACCTACTGATCAAAAGTAAGCAAGCAGCGGACCATCCTCAGCACTTGGAGAAATGCTTTAGCATCATGAGGAAGCATAATTTGAGATTGAACCCCAAAAAATGTGCCTTTGGGGTCTAGGGAGGAAAATTCCTTGGTTACATGGTGAGCAAGAAAGGGATTGAGGTCAATCCGGACAAGTTGAAGGCCATCCAAGACATGGAACCACCAAAAAATTTGAGGGAAGTCCAGAGATTAGCAGGGAGGATAGCGGCCTTAGGAAGGTTTTTGGCACGGTCCGCAGAGCGGTCCCTGCACTTTTTCACAATTTTAAAGGGAGGGGGAAACTTCCAGTGGACCGCAGAGTGCCAAGAGGCCTTTGAACACTTGAAGGCATATTTGAGCTCTCCACCGGTCCTCTCTAAGCCACTAGCCGGGGACGTCCTTTTCTTGTACTTGGGGGTGGCCCACCTGGCAGTGAGTTCGGTCCTCTTGAGGGAAGAAGAAGGAGTCCAAAAGCCAGTTTATTACACAAGCAGGGCCTTAAGAGGACCGGAAACAAGGTACACTCCCTTGGAAAAATGTGTTTTGGCGGTGGTAGTAACTGTCAAGAGGTTAACTCCCTATTTCCAAGCTCACCCAGTGAGAATCATGACGGACCAGCCTTTGGGAGCCGTTTTGAGGGACCCGTCTTCTTCAGGAAGGGTCATTAAGTGGGCCATGGTCCTCTCTCAATATGATATTTCTTACCAGCCCCGTTCTAGCAAAAAGGGCTAAGTCATTGCCGATTTTATGGTGGAGTGCACAGCAAGAGGGAAACCAGAAGAGGATGGGACCGGTCAGGAGAGAAAAAAGGAATTATGGGAGATTCATTCAGATGGATCCTGCACTAAAGACGGTTCAGGAGGAGGAGCGGTCCTCACCTCCCCTGAAGGCTTCAAGGCTTATCATTCCTTTAAGTTCACATTTCGGGCCACCAACAACGAAGCAGAATATGAGGCCCTCATTGGAGGAATCCAGATTGCCCTATTCATGAAGATAAAGCACATCCGCCTTAAATCCGATTCAAAATTGGCCATCGGGCAGCTAAAAGGAGAGATGGAGGCCAAGGAAGGAAGGTTGAAAAGATACAGGGACTGCGCCAGGACTCTACTTGGA